CTCTCTTCTTACCCCTTTTTCTCCCTACTTTGCACCTCTAGGCTTTGGGATCACTCAGTGCTTAAAGGAGGTTTGATCTCTTTGCCCGAGCACACACACACACACACACACACACACACACACACACACACACACACACACACACACACACACACACACACACACACACACACACACACACACTCTGCACACCTCCACATCACTTCTTCAATCTTCTCCAAGGCTCAGTTTGATGAATGGCTTATTCTGCTGGATGAGCAAAGGGCTATAGGTGCGAGTGACTTGAGTTTATTTCTGTCTTTTTTTTGTCTGACTTTCTTTCCGTCTATGTGCCTGTCTGGTTTGTTTTCTCAGAGTCACAGTGATTAGAGAGACGAACAGATAATATGACAGAGATAGAGAGGAAAGAGTGTTGCTTGTACTCTCTGTTACAGAAAGTTGATTTGGCCTCACTTTTACCTTGTCTTATCTGCGCTGCCATACGATATATTCATACACACACGCACCCATATTACTAATGCAAAGAACACTTCATCCCGTAACACTCGAATACACTCAAGGAGGCGCAAACACACCCACATAAATATTATCCCTGGCATCATTTGACTTTAAAACTATTGATATATCCACTTTGAATTCATACACACAAGTATTTGAGAGAGCCAGACTAAGTGGCAGCCGCCTCCTTGTTGCCTAATGAGAATGAATGAAGACATGCCAAAACGTCTCCACCTGCCAGTCTGTTTCCCCGGTGTTCACTGCTTGCATCCGCACATTGCAGGGCCGTCTTTGACAAGCAACCACACACACACTTTCTCCCTCGCCTACCCACAGCCAGAAGTACTCTCTGTGTTTACCCCCCGTCTCTGCCTTTAAACTTTTACGACTAGTACTGTTAATTTGCAACATGCAAACCTAACTCTGTATGGTGATAACGGTGATCTCTGTAATTGGAATATGCTGTAAAATTCCGATTTAAATAGTGGCAGAGTTACCGTCAGCGATGATTGAAAGCCCTGACTGACAGATTAATCTTCTCTGCGCCTTGCATTATATATATGCTTCTTTCTCCCGATGAGTAAATATGTAGCCGAGGCTGTATGCATAAAGCAATGCTTGAATTGGTCCTCTAGCATGTGCCAGGTTAGACCTCCTGGGGTTTTGGACTCACCAATGGACACATCCTGCTCTGGGTAACCTTTTGTTTTTTATGGATTAGCTTTTTTCCCTACAGGTACTCAAAATTGCGTTTGTTTGTGGTGATAAAAGAAAATCCCACTGCTTGCCAATTTTTAAATTGCCAGCCCACCGTCTTGTTTAATTTTCTTTTAGTGCAGGGTTTGGCTCTGACATGACGCGACACTTTCGCAGTCTTATTTTTTTGTTCACTTTCAAAGGGCTAAGTGAATTAAATCTGCTGCAGTTTTAAAACATGCCCCTGGGCCAGGTTTCACTTCAATGGCACCAAATGCCTTTGTCTTGTGTACTCTTTATGGCTGCACATGTGTATGTGCCTGCACGCACATGTGCATGGCTTTGTGTGTATGTATACTCTGCCTTTTTCTCTTATCCGTCCACTGTGTCGACACAATCCCAGCGTTTATGAGATTACCAGAGCCCATTTGTGTTCCGGCGGGAGCCATTTTGGCTCGGAGGAAGCCTCCGCTGGGAACCATCTGGGCTCTACTCAAAGCAGTTTCCACTCCGCCTCCCCTGTCCCCTCCACGTTGTGACCAAAGCTATTTACTTTAAAGGGCAGAGGAACTAAAATCCATGTGTGGGTTTTTATACAACTCTGAAATTCTGCCTTCAGATCTAATTCATGAGTTGTGCTCTCTCATTGCAATACAAATAAACACAAAGAAATAACAGAAGGGATAATGGCAGAGGTAGCAGCAATGACAATTCACTGCATGAATTAAATTAAATGTCATTATACATATTTACACATTTTACAGAATACAACATTTAAATACAAAAAAATGTGTGTTATTATGTGTGTTCATAAATAGATGTTAAAAGTAATCATAGATGCCACAGAAATCCAGCCAGTTGTGATGTATATAAAAGATGGTCATGGGTTGAAATAACCCTTAATTGAGTTTTATTTTACGTTTGATACATCTATTGACTATTTCCTTGACCTATCATTTATTCTATAGATCATAGCAGTGCGCTTTAATAATGTATCCTTTATCTTACAATGTATAACCAGAATAGGAATCAAGACACGTCATAGCTACATATCTGTTATCACACACTAGTATCAATCTGCAATCCTCTCATGGATCATTGATGTTATTCTCCCAGTGAAAGATTGGGCATCCACTTTCTTTTTATGAATGAATTTGGCCTTTTTAATTTAGCGTCTGCCCTCTCTGTGACCATGCTACCATTTGTCAATCATGTCATTTCATTTGGTTTTCCAGTATATTACTGACATCCCTCAGTAGGCCTCTCTGTTATTATTAATGCTGTGTGCACACACGCTACCCCTCTAGTCATAATGTGCTGGTTGGCAGTATGTGGTAAATGAGGTTTTCCCTTTAAGTGGTCTGGGGGAAAAAATACTAATTTGTTTGATTATGATCGAAACACGTCTGTGATGCCAATAATTTAACTTGGACTATTCTTTACCCCTCTCTCGTCATCTCTGGCTGTCACATGTTTACATCTGACCCCATAAAGTGTGATTGATAAGACTCGTCCTGCTGGGTGATTTCTCCGTATGGTTGTGACATTTATCTAGTTGGTACAGGACAATTCTATTTTCCTCAAGCAAACGCACACAGATAGAGAGGAAGAATATTGCCTTGACCTCAAGATAGCTTCTGCACCAACACTGAAATCTCTAAAATGATTTCAGAAGGATCGTAAATTATCTTCAATGTGGAAGCAAACAGTTGACATACTTTCCCCTAGAATCTATGATTCCATTTCTAGTTGCCATGGTGTCGACAATTATTGCCTAGTGAATGGTTGTTAGCCCTTGCATGCTAAACAAAAGGCTGATAAGAGGTCAGAAATATTCCACTTGTTCTACAAAGAGAGATATAATTATCTATATAATATATTGGCGCATTCAATGTGCAAATGAGGTTGTCATTATTTTTTACATAACATTTTTATATTGCCATTTTTCTGAGTATTGTGTGTAGCTGTGTGTTTTGAATTGTCTGCCTGCGTGGTAGTTGGTGACAGTTAAGTTGGTTCCAGCCATTCTAGCCTTTTTCAAACTCTCGCCCACTTTTGACATTTGGGTGCTCCGAGGACCAGTGCAGCTCTAATAGCCTAGTTATATAACCACTTCTGCACTTAGAGACAAAGAGAGATGAAATGGGGTGAGTATCTGAGAAAGCAGTGAGGGCAAGAGAAGGAGAGTCAGAGAAAGGCGAGTATACGAAGGCAGATGAGGTATGAGTGGACTTAGATTGTATCATGGTCAGGACCTGGGAGGCTAGGCTAACGTCCTAGCTGCTCTTGTGACTTGGAAGCTTTACAGTTCTTTTTGCATGTCAGGGAAAACAACAATACTTATTAATAAAGCAATTACATTTTTTTTTTTTTTTAAAACCACTACTTTTTTTCCTTGACAAATCAGACGGTTGTTTTTGTAGCCATGCTGCATGGATGTGCCATTATACCAAGAAGTGTGATATTGAGCATAATCAAATATCACATTATTTTTGAACAAATAATTGATATTGATATTGTGAACATACTGTAAGGTTTCCTATGGGTGCTATTGGTGAGATGTTTGATAAATCATCAGTAATGGGATATAATGACCTTGTCCTTAAAGACAAAACATACAAAAACTGCTCTGCTGTACTGTAGCAAACACTTATGCCTTCAATACAATATTTAGTCTCACAACCTCAATATTAGTATATTGTCTATCCCCAGTACTAATTGTTGTTGCAATGGAAACATTCACCTTTTTCCACATTGCTGTTGGCCTTATATAAATAGATCCAGAAAGTTTGAATATATGTACGTCGCTGCTATATGCCTAAGTTTTCAGTTTTGAGCTTAATAATAGAACCCATTATACATTAATTAATCAAAGCGTTTTACTTTAGTTCTGAACAAGGCAGAGCAGTTTACTAACTTAATTCCTCTTAGATTTCCCTGGTGGCTGCCGGGCTGAGTAGTGCGAGTCTTAATCGCTTGACTTCTTCCTATCTCTTCAGCACACCTGCCCTCTCACTTTCTCGCTGACTGAGGCTTTAGGGTAGGAAAAAAAAAATCGATTGATTTTTCTTTTCTCTTCGCTTCACGGTCGTCCATCACTTATGAAACAAAATGTAATGAATAGATAATTAGCCTGAATAGGCAGAATGTGGTTATAGTCCATCGTGGGAAATGTTGGGAGATCTTTCCTACTTTGTCAGCAGGGTTAGCTATTTCAGTGCCCTCATTTGTTAACCCGAGGGGAATTGCAACTTCGCTGTCACTAATTGCAAATGATTTACATTACAGAAAAAAAGTAGGATGGCAATATTTAGAGTCTTAATTAAGGTTGAAGTGCATACGCAACAATAATTTAAAGCTACTCACACTGTTTTTGTGCAGGCCCTGGGGTTTCTACACTTACTCTTAGGGCTTGCAAATTAAAACAGAAGTTACTTCTATTAAAAACTGGCTGAAGCGCTTCTTTAGGAATGTCAAGGGCACTATGTGCACCAAGACAGGAGGCCACTTCTGGGTGTTTGTGTCAAAAGAATGTGCCATTCTAGTCAAAACTAGATACCACTGATTAGTAGATCCACAACAGAAGAGTGAAGTGGGATCTGTGTGTGTGCTACCAAATCAATACAGCGCTCACAGGCCTCTGTGGATGAGTCTATTTAAAAACAGTGGTGTCTCCTCACAGGAGTCCCCCAGCCCCCACCTTCCCTTCATTGCTGTAATTGAATCTCAAACCTAATCTTGGACACAGAACATTAACTTGTCCTCTTTTTCATCCTCTCCTTCCCTCCCCCTCACTTGTGTTCCAGGTGGAAGTTGAAGTGGAGAGCATGGACAAAGCCGGAAACTTCATTGGCTGGCTGCACATCGAGGGTTTGAATCTGTCAATTGCGCTGGTAGAAGGCGCTCTGTCCAAGATTCACTTCACAGCCGAGCGCAGCAACTACTACAAAACCCTGGTCTCAGCAGAGGAGGCCTGCAGAGAGAGGAAAGAGAAGGTAAGTCTCTTTTAGATGCTGCCACATCCGAATTAAACAAAGTGATGACTGCTCTCCTGACTGATATAAAAGTCTTTATAAGTAAAAGAAGCATTTATTTACTCACATTAATTAAAGGAAGACTGGGACATTTTATCATTTTAAAGAGAAAGGGCCTCAAGATATATTTCTCTCTTAGCATTATTATCAGGCATCAGCTATGATGTCATGTTTCTCAGCCACAGCAGCAGCCTGGGTTAGCAGATCAGGATTTATTTTGCTGCCTCCCTGATCTATGGTGTCCCAGGTCTGGCTGTCTGTGAACATATTTTAGTCTGAGCTGCATAAAACTGGCTCTAGTCAGGGTGTGGTTCATTTCTTGCATGCCGAACAACACATCTCCTCTTATTAGGGCTGTACCCGAATATTCGTTCGTTGGAGTACTATTCAGGTTTCAATTTCGTTATTCGGATATTCGTTTTTTTTTTTCGTTTTTTTTTTTTGAATTTATTGAAATCTCCAATATCAACGTAAGAGCTTGTGCCTCTTCGGGGGGTACTAACACTTATCCATAAACGTTATTTTTTACTTTCTCCGTCTCATGTAGATATTATTCTTTCTCCATTAATCTCTTTCACGTTGTTTCCATAGCAACGACAACTTCCTGTCAACTGTGCTAACTCTCCTTCAAAATAAAAGCATGTCCATACAAAATAGAAGGCCAAGCCAAATTACACTTAAGACATATACAACTGCAACGAAAGTAACACACGCAATGCAATATCCTTTTCAATTTCAAAGAATATTCGTTGCTGATTACTACCGAATATCCGGAGCCCGAAAAATGGTATTCGGGACAGAACTACCTCTTATATAATTCACTGGACCAGCTTAGCCGTTTATTAGAAGAGGAAGTCTACAGGGTGATCAGAACTGAGGAGAGAAAAACATAAATAACGATTTGTTGCAGTTAATGTTGGCAAAATGGTAATTTAGCTTGGCAACCATATGCTTCTTTTGGTATTCCGAACTTCAACAAATCCCTAAACGGCAACTTTACTATTATCGCTAATAAACATCTACATCCGGGATGTCCAAACTACGGCCCAGGGGCCAACTGCGGCCTGTGGTTCATTTAAAAAAGTTTAAGGGAATATGGCCCACACATAAACCTTGTGCTTGTCTTATATTTTACTTCACAAATATATTTGTCAAAATACATTTCAAAATATTCATGTATTCATGAGCCACATTTTCAAATAAAGTCACTCAATTAAAGTTGAAAACATTTTCTAACAATACTTGATAAAAAAAGCTCAATAACTTATTTACATAACAGGCTTGAAATATAACCTTCTCCTCTTATAATATGCTTCTGTTTGAAGGTATGAGCTGCCAGCCGGTTTTGATAAATGAAATTAATGAAATGAAACCCTATGGAGAGCTGTGATGTAGGCTGTTTTTTTCAGTTAACATTTGATTGATTTTGCCAATTCCTAACTGGACTTATGAGGCAGTATATCTCACCTCTTGTGAGTGGCCCAGCCCTTCGTTTATGTTTCTGTATGTGGCCCTCAGTAATAAACGTGAGGACACCCCTGTTCTACACACTGCCCTTGTCAAAGGCAAAGCCCATCCCCCCTATCAGCATGACAGCCAATTAGGACAGGTGGCGACTTGACCTTTGGCTACCATTAAAACAAAAATATGCTTTTTTTCCTCAAAAAACCTCCCCAAATAAAGGTAATATATCTAGCTTGACACCCTATTCAATCATGAGAATAACCAACACTTTGTCGTGCACTTATAGCATGCTGGCCATTCCTTTAGTCAGAGCTACCAAAATGTGGAAATGCTCCATCTGAGCTGGAGAATAGCCACATATTTCCCCGTTATCATTGAAGCTTGCTTTCCACAATGGGAGTCCTTTGATGGATGGAGGCCTCTCACACACTGATCCTGATCTCGCCCTGCATTTTCATTATGGCTCCACGAGTCGCCCTGCCAGATGCATGAAGTGCCTGGCCAGCTGTCATCCTTGTCCTCTCTATCTCTGTAACGCATTTCTTTCATCCTCTCTCTCCCTCTCACCTCTTCTTTCATTCTCTCTCTTCCACTCACTTGTACCTTAAGTATATACAAATGCCTCTTCTCCACATTTAAACGTGATGTATTGCTGCAGCCGAGAAGGGGCTGTGTTTCTTTTTCCCTCCACTGAATCCATCATGTTCATTGTCAAGAGTTCCTACTCACCTTTCATGCTCCTCGCCTCCCTTTTTCTTACAGATACTCTCCCTCTGTGAATTAAAGAGCTTAAGTTCTTGAGTGTTGCACAGGTGAACTTTTTATCTGGATTTCCCCCCAAAAATAATATATTTTTAGCCCACCGACCATGCCATGTTGAATACAACTGCAGCAAGAAGGCCTGTTCCTGACACCTCTGATCAAAATGTCACTACAAGCTTTCCCTTTGCACGGATTGACTTTGACCACAAGGTTCCGACTTAAGCTAACCTGAGTGTGGACAGGACAGAGAGGAAACACAACACAACACAACAGGCCTGAGTAGACCCGACAGATGGTGATTATGTTTGAAGTTAGTTTGCCACCAGTGCACAAATCAACCACAGCCTGATTTAACTGTGTGTGTAGTGGAGAGTGTGTTGTTTCAATGGAACACAGGGAAATTGTATGTATGTGTGAATTGATAGTATGCAGCTCGGAGGCAGAAGATGTGAGACTTGCTGTTCTAATTAACCCGTAGAGACCGTTTCCAGAAAAGCTGAGAGCTTGGCAATTTCTTCCCTATGTTTTTCTCTTTTGAAGTCGTGGCTGGTCTTTGTCTGTGTGTAGGCTGAGGCTAGGTAGGGCTGATTGCTTCTCCTCCCACCTCTCTTCCTCTTTTGTCTTTGCCATTTCTTTATTGGCCCTACGGCTGTGGATATGGAAGACATCAGCGGTACTGCTGCGTCAGGCGTCCCTGCGAGGAAACACAGTTGTCGTAATGAAGTGGACTCAGAGGGTGTGTGTACGCACTCACACACGCTCATTAAAGAAAACTTTGCGTCGGTGGTCCAACCGGGACCCGGGACAACAAGGGGGATTGAGGCTTTTCTGCAGTAGCATCCTGAACCAAAACTGCTTAGTTCGAGTGACTTAAGTGAATATGAGTTTTTGCTACAATGAGACCAATGGGACAAAGTGATTGTGTTCTAAATGAAGAATTCCAAAGGGTTTAAAGAAGAGTCTTTTGGAGAGCTCAGCATATTTTCATCTTGCACATCAGCATCTCTTGGAGCAACATTTGGTACCAGTCCTCACAGCAAACACGTGCAGAAGGCTCAAAGTGTAGGCCTGGGCACATTCATAATTCTGTTTGCCATTTTGTTTATTTATGGCTATTGTTTTTCATAAGTCTCTAAAGCGCGTCGCACTGTCAGAACCAATTGTATTTCGTTAAGGTTTTAGCTACATGACAGACCCAGAACACTTTATTCACTTAATTCATGTTGTTTTAACAATGAGTCGGTTGTTGCCAAGCAATGCTCATGCGCTCTTCTCAAATCTCTTGCCTGGTTTGTGTAAAGCAGTCTTGTGTGTATATGGATGCTCTGAGGGGTGGAAAAACAAATTCTTGCTTACCAGGCATCTCTGTAAACAAGGCTTGTTGCAAAAACACTGCATTTTGTCTTTGTAATATGAGACGGCTCATTGCAGCGATTCATATGATGTTCTAGTATTCCCATGCTGCAGCTGCGGGAAATGCATTTGACATGATAGCGGCAGTTTGGCACAAAGTGGATTGGGAGAAGAGATTTAAACTGCAGAGACATTATTTAAGTTCCCCCTTAGACTGAACATGTGTCGATGGTTAATATTTGGTCGTGCCTCAAAGGGTATTTATTTCCTTCTGAAAATTCCCAAACAAAATGAAATGGAATAAGAAGGTGGGATAACCATTGGGAATCCATTTACATTTATTATTTACTCTTGGTTCTTCTCTTCCAGCTTTTAACAGTCCTCCAATGTTGAATGCATGTGTATTTCCCAGCATACATCTACTTGAAAGAACAGCAACCCTAATAGCTGTAAGCAGGCAGCAGAAGGAAACATGCAAGTAATTGGAGTGGCCTAATTATGACGAGGTGAGTCAACAATCAGCCCTCAATAATAACCAGAGTGCGCTTTCTGCTGAGCAAGGTTGTTTTTTGTTGCTGTAATTACCCAACCTTGAAGGATATTAACCCACTCCGATGGGTCTCGGAGTGGGAGAGAGGAAGTCGGAAAAGAGAGTGAATGTAGAAGGAATGAGGATATGACAACCCCTGTTAAAGATATTTCATGTCACAGGATTTCCTCCTTTCATCTCTGCCCGCCCCTTTCCTTCAGTCCTTATCAGCCCGCATCACAGACCACTTTCTCCCTCTTCACCTCTTTAGTGGTCTCACATCCTTGCCCACCCTCTCTACTTTCCCCCCTTTATACCCTCCCCTCATTCAATTAATCATCTCTAAATGCCTTCTTATTAACCGGATTAATGTCTTCTCAGATTCCCAGTGTCATGCCCTTGTTCACCTCAGTTGCTTTTTGCATCGTGGAGGACAGTTCATTCTTTGGCATGGTCATGCTTTATGAGAGAAAAAAAACGCTCTGAAGCATAAACCCGGGACCCGTTGATGCCGTTCCCTATACTTCACCCGTCCATCAACGACACTCGTCAAAGCATTTGAAGCGGCATCGTTTTGACATTGAGCGCGGTGACGTGTCCTTGGCGGAGCCTGATTGAAGTACATAATCTTGTTTCAGCTTTCTCAGTTTTTTTTTGGGTAGAATCCAAAGTTGCATTCCCTCAGACTTTGCCCTAGGGCCTGTTCACAAGTACACACCAAACACATGACTCGGACCAACCTCTTTTGTACGACAAACCCAGACAGCCCTTTTTTTTTGCTGTGATTGGCTGACTTACATTGTGAGCATGTTTGATTATATCTGTACGTTGCAATTTGTGCCCCTTTTTAGAA